TCTCTTCACAAAAACAATGACTTGCGGATAATTGAAATACAGTGTCCAATGAATTCTACATTAGCATGATGTAAAAATTTTAGGCAATTGGAAATTAAATATCCAGATGCTATACAGTCTATAAAATCAGAGCCTCTGACTGTGTTGTGTTAGACACAGACATTAGCTAAGAAAAGGATAGATAATCCATCTAATTTATGGTCTGGTATATCATATTTCACAATATTTGGGAGTAACATACTAAATATAATCCTTACAGTAGAAATCAGGAAGAAAATCCACAAGTACAAGGAATATTAGTAAGCTTGATAGTAATAGGATGAATAATGCTTCAAAAGGTCAGATTAGTAACATTTCTGGATTACTTCTAAAGGTAATGAAGCCCAAACTTTTTTTTTTTTTCATGAGGACGATTAGCCCTGAGCTAACATCTGTTGCCAATCATCCTCTTTTTTTGCTGAGGAAGACTGGCCCTGGGCTAACATCTGTGCCCATCTTCCTCTACTTATATAGGACACCGCCACAGCATGGCTTGACAAGTGGTGCATCGGTGCCTGCCCGGGATCCGAACCTGCAAACGTTGGGCCGCCACAGTGGATCATGTGCACATAACCGCTATGCCACCAGACTGGCCCAAACCCAAACATTTTTAAGAATGGAGGTTTGATTTTTAAAAGGAAAAACTGAGCCAGTCGATGTGTCAGAGAAAGGACTACAGAAAATAAGGAAGCCGACCCCTTCTCATTTAAAACATGCATAAACTGATAATTAAGAATTGGCTGAGGGCCGGCCCCGTGGCTTAGCGGTTGAGTGCGTGCGCTCTGGTGAGGGCGGCCCGGGTTCGGATCCCGGGCGCGCACAGACGCACTGCTTCTCCGGCCATGCTGAGGCCGCGTCCCACGTACAGCAACTAGAAGAATGTGCAACTATGACATACAACTATCGCCTGGGGCTTTAGGGGAAAAATAAATAAAAAAAAAAAAAAAAAAAAAAAAAAGAATTGGCTGGAATCCATTTTAATGTTAAAGTCTTGGAAGTAAGATGGTATGATACAAATGTTAGCCATTAAATCACTTCATCACTAAAAATCATATTAAATCAAATTAAAAGGAGTTAAATCAGAACAACCATTTACTTTACTTCCCTGAAAATTATCCATAAGCAGGTCCTCTACCATATGCCGTCTATACAGATTGTATACGCCCTGAAAACGTGTGTGTGTGTATTCTGCTATTGTTAACCTTTCAAAGATATTATCTGACTTTGTATTTTCTTAACAATATCACACTTTATCATTTTAAAGCACCACTGCTTAGTCAATAGTTAAAAATTCACTAATCAAACTAATTGGCTGTGTTTCAGAATTCTTAAGAAAGCACAAGGGAACCATAAGCAAAACTACTCTCACTATGAGACTGTAAGAAAACTTCCTCCAAGAACGACAGTCTTCCCTGGTTGAGATACTACAGATCATTGTCTCTCTCTGAAACAAGAAAACACACAGAATGAGGCATGATGGACCCACCACCTCGTCCAAAGGACTATGCAGGTTCATTTGTAGCAAGAATACATATGCCACCTGCTTCTCCAAGAAGGCTCTGCCTGGGAAGTGAGGAGTGGACTCAGGTTTGGAGGATGGAAATAATTTTAATCACTGAATTTGATGGTTTAAAATGTACTTAAATTTTAATGATGACGTCCTAATTTGTGAAAAGAAGGTATAGATATAATATTCATGCATCCTTTCATTATAAAAGTTTCCACAATCGATCAACACAGATGTATTAGATGCTTCTTGTCTTAAAGGAAAACATCCATATCTGTTTTTGAGCCATAATGGACAGAAAAGGGTGACTTGTTTCCTCATAAACACTGTTAGGCAATTGTGAACTCACAGATAATCCTAAAAGAACAGATCATTCCAGTCTTATTTCTGACAGCCAAGTTAAAAACAAACCAACCCACAATGCAGGCGTCACAGTGCAGTTTCTTGATGATAGCAATAGGCAGGGTTTTTTTTTTTTATTACTCGCCCTTATGATTCTTTCTTCCTGATGTTAATAGTAAATGCTGAAATATTCTCTGTAAGTGATTGTTGGGCTGGAAGAAGAAAGAAAGTCTAATGCAAGTATTTATACCTTCCACAATGAAAACAAGATATTATTGCTCTGCATGACCTTTCCTACGTATGGGATACAGCATTTTACACAATAGTTTCTTGGTTCATGCTTCAATTACTGACCTTTACTGTGCAGAAAATTAATGCAATTTTCATTGTAATCCATCCGTACAAATATGGTCCACAGAGAAGAATTCCACATAAGGAATCTAATACAAATAGGAAATGTCAGCTGATTGCTGTTGGCTGAACTTAGTCATTATCTGTTTGTTCCGAAGTCCCCAGCAAACTATACCGGGAACAAGCAATTTCTTGCCTGGGCCATCAGCTATGAGAAAGAAAGATTTCCTCTCTTCAAAATTTAGTTTGTATAGTTAGTTTTCTAAAAGCCAAAAAACTAGTTACCTGCAAGTTCTATGTTATAACTGAAAGTCCACAAAAAGACAAAATTGTGGAGTCTAATTTGGTGTCTAATACAGGTCACTACTACGGACTTTTAACAGTGAGAAGGAATGAGACTTCAGTGACGTCATTTTACAACAATCTCTATTCCAGACAATAAAAGTATGACAGACCCCAGACCGTGTCCTGGTCTGTGCATCGGAGACAGGCAGAATATGGGAGTGCGTCCATCTCCTGAGGAAGTTGTGCCAAGGGGCCCCGGCAGGCTTTCATCTTCCCCAGTTGTCCGTGATGGTATTTGGTGGGAAGGGGCGCTGGCAATTAAGGAGTGTCACTTTCAAGATGGATAGTTTGGGTAGAAAGGAGTTCCTCTCCTCTTCTGGTTTGGAAGGAAACGGCTGTGTGTTTATAATCTGTAAACAGCTCATCTCTCACTGGGTGTGTTACAGTTCCCAGAAGCACAGTCTGTCATGTCTAACACGCAACAGAAGCCAGAAGGGCTCTGTGGGTAAGCCCTTTGCTACAGCACGCTAAGGAGGGGAGTGGCCCAAGGACTGTGTGTGCAGGTCGATGACGAGCACATCTCAGTTGTGGAGGCTGCTATCCATGGAGAAGAAATGATGAGTTGTAATATACATGAGGATGTGTGCTCAGGAAGTCTTCAAGTTGAAAATCCATCTAGTTTACACATCTCTTAGAGAGGTTACAGTGAAAAGATACGGACGAGGACTGCAAAATTGGCCAGTCTCCTCTAACAGTAGAAGGGCTGTGTTAGGCAGAAGAGGCATAAATACAAACCAAAATTTCATTTTAGACTTATTCCTCTAGAAGATTTCATGGAAATATGAAATTGAGGAAGCAAAACAAATATGGCCATGCTACAGCTATTAAATACTGTGAAAATACTACAATCAAAACATCTCAAGAATGAAATTGCCCTGGAGGAAACCAGAGAGTCCCAGTGCCAAAGCCCTCAGCGTAGGATGGGTTGACACAACTGTTGTGTGGAAGGCCATGCTTGGATGATTTTAACAGCTCTGAGGCTCATCCATGTGGATGCTATAGTTCCAACTCAGTCATCCTTGCCCCGAAAGGCTTGGTGCACAGCCCAAATGGCTCGACTCCACACCCCTAGGCCCCCAGACAGCCCTTGAGGCACCTCAGTGCAAGGTTAGACCGTGACAACCCCTGGTCTAGACTTCACGGCCTAAATTTGTTGCCTGCCAGTTACTGAACACCACTTTTTCATTCACTGCATTCTGGTTAGATGCTTTCCTTTATCAGATGGGCCAAAGACACATGGTCACAATTATCCATAAAAGGCGAGGATGCCCTCTTCCACAGGTGGTTCATTTAAACAGGCTTAGCCAAACAGAATCTTCTTCACTTCCAAGACTTGGTTATTAAATTTAGAATTTTGCCTAGTATAGGTTTAAAATAATTTCCTTAATACTTGAGTTTCCTTTGATAAAACATCCCAACATGCACTTTAGCTTGGCTATGACTATTTTCAATATTCAAGTAGTTCTATCACTCAGAAGACACTCACATCAATTTATCGAGAATAAGGTCACATCTGAGTGAACTTTATTCTGAAAAAAGTTGATTCCCTTTAAAATAATATTATACTTTATTTTGTTATTTTGCTATTAACGATCGTCTTAGCACAACAAATAAGATTTACTTTGTAATCCACCCAATTTGTTTCAAATGGGCAAAACCATCTGGCCTACTCAAATCATTTTAAGGCTGCTTGTGTCATGGAGCCAGTATTTTTGAATTTGTCTTTATTTCCTGGGCATTTTATATTGGATAGTTATTCTTAAGATTTCCCCTTTTGACCTTCTCCTCTCCTGCGAGCCTTCTCTACAACTACCATCAGAAGCCCCAGAAACCCACAGGTTCTGGGAGACTGGAAGTCCATTAAGCTAGTAGCATCTCATTTGACATTTCACTTTTTTCATTTTATTCCAGAAGGTTTGTCTGAAAGCATAATGACAACAAAAGCAGCAGATTTGAGAGATTCTCCCAGGAGAAGAAAAAGGACAGATGTACACAGACATATAGCTGAAAACGTTGCCAGCAACAGCTGGGAAAGTGACAGGCTCTGAAGTGGGTGACCACCCCACAGAGTGCAGACACGAACCTCAAGGAACAGCAATTCTACCTGATTTACTTGTGACTTCCTAGGCTGCCTTTCATCTACCTTTTATACACCAAGGGGAAGGCTCACGTTCGCTTGCATCAAATGACAGGACTCCTATAGGTACGCTTTTCATAACATTTCAATTATTCCTTATATTTTATCCCTTTTCATCCTTATTTTAAAAAAATCTTAAAAAGGGATATCCTTTATAAATTACAAGAAAATTACTAAACTGGTCACTCTATAGTACTAAAAAATAATAGAGTTTGACTCAACCTGGAAGAACGCTTATCTGCTGAGAACATCAACACTCTCTTCCATGAACACACCCACCTTGTCGTCGCCATCCTCCTCATCATCTACGTCTGTGCTCTCCTGAAAGGAAAACCCGAAATTTGTTAATAAAACATCAACCAAAATTACCCAATGCAAATTAAACTTATATACACTTTTAAAGTTTCCCTACATAATTTAAACTAGTATTTTTAAGATGCATTATGACCTCTTAAAAAATAATACTTTCAAAGTTCAGGGACACTGTGGCAAGACTATAAACAATATGCATAATCTACATAAAACTGTGAACTATAAATAAAGCTATTAGGCAAGTGCCCTTTGAAGGCATCCAGCTTTAAAAATGCATTGCCAAGTTGTACTTTCTGTAAACAGTTTTGTTCCTGTGCTGACAAATGAACCAACTGCTCTGTTAAGGCTGAGAACACCACACTCTGTTTGTGCGAGGCTCATTGTTATAATGCCTGCTCTTTCCCTTTGGGCCATTACTGAAACATTAGACAGTAGAAAATGCATTAGTCTGAATGTAATCAATCTCAAGAATAAGTTACAGGTTTCTATATGGTATTGTTGTTTTCCTTGGGCTTCGGGCTTGGAGGGGGGCAGGTGAGGGAAGGAAACTCTAGGCTCTGATCTGGACTAAAGGGCGCCTGGCTTTAGTTCAGGGGCCCCAGCACCAGCTGTGCTGCAAATAGGCTTGTTCCGATGCATTTAGAAATCTTGGCTATTTAACAGGTAAATTTTAATCATACCACTGCAATGTTGAAAAGCTAACACATGCTAGTACACAAATCAAATGGGTTCGCTAGCTTGGAAATAATGCTGGGTATTACAAAACCAGGGACTATTTTCAGCTTGAACACTTACCTTTCTTCTTAACCTTGCAAAGGTCAGGCATGCTGTTTAGATGCCATTGTTCCAATAGTAATAAGAATGGTCAATACCATGCTCTTAAAAGGGAGTAACTCTGAAGTATCCAGAGAGTACTCTGCTATACTCCATAAAACCATGGAGCAGTCATGAGGTAATTTCTCCAGGGCTGGTACCGCATTACCTCCCAGAATTCCCATGAGCTTCAAGTAGCAGTCTGTGTGAGACTCACTGATCCTGGAGAAATAACCTATGCACCATTGGCAGCACACATGTTTCATGAAAGCAAATGAACAAAAATGAATACAATGAAAACATACAATGGTAGGAAAAAAATGTAATTAGGAGTTAGAAGTCTTCAGCTTAAGACAGAGTCTTTAGCTTAAGACATTGTTCCAGTGCTGTTTTGCTGTGTGACTTTGGGCAAACCACTTTGCCACTCCGAATCTTAGTTTCATCAAGCATAAAATGAAAATAGTAGTTCTTGCTTCTTTCAGGCTTGTGTTATCAAGATTGAATTAGGTAATGAATTTGAAAATGTTCTGTAAATTAAGAAGGTTTTATGCACACACATACATATTTATATGCATATACACATAAGTATAGTTATGTACCAACACATACATCTGTATAAACCTGCATACAAATACATACACATATACATATACACATATGCACACATATACATGCTATAAACATCGTGTATATATAGCGGGAAAAATAAAATCTGATTAAAATTGTAAAAATGTTAGTTGACAGCATTTTTTATAACCGATGTTTCTCTGTAAAAGTTTCCCTCATCTGTACCTCTGTGAATCTTAGTTCTTAAATGAACCTGTACTTTAAAGTTATTTATTTATTAGTTGGTTCGAGCATCTTCAGGGCCCTCACTATTGATATATGCCCATGTCTATTGCACCCAATAATCAAAAATAAAACAGAACAGAATTGTGAATTTGTCTGAGGTTTTACTTCCTGCCACAACACTTCTTTTCCCCACTTCCCTTCTATCCCAAATGAGTCCAGAAACATCCATTATTTCAGAGATGATTTTTTTTTTACGAGAACATTATAAGGAAAGACAGGTGAAGATGGTCAGCTTTTGAGTCTTGACAAACTCAACGTGAAGGTGATCTTTCTAGAAAGGATGTTAGCAAGTCTCGAGACCTTGGATTTTTGTTTTAAAAACTTGGTTCTTAAATCTGGTATGCCAATATTGATAAAGCAAGCTTATAAATACAAGTTCCTTCTCACCTGGAGCAGAAAAAGATCCTGAGGGCTTGGATAAGAGGAGTAGGAGAAGGAAAGTCGGAAAAGTTGTAAGGTCGGTAGACACTGGGGGATGTCTCTGAGAAGAGGCCTTGCCTGTGCTTCCTTCAATACTATGGGGAGTTTCAGAATTACAAGAAAAACTTGGGCACTTGAGAATAGAAGGGCCCATGCCTGCCTGCCCCCCGATTGTCCTGGGAGTTGGCAAACCTCCAAGAATCCCCTGAGCCTTCAGGTCAGGGGAGAACATTGTATGGGGTGACTCCATGGAGAGGGCTGAGGCAGCCTCCCAGATGCTCTGTGTGCCCCCAAGGGGATCAGAGAGCCACCAAAGGCTTTTCTCTAGTGGTTAAGAATGTTATTCACAGGAACCCGACAGAGAACCACTGGGCACACAGCCATGTGCTACTGGCACAGAAATGAGGACCAAGAACCAGAGGGCTCTCCTCATGCTAAGAATGTAGGCCAAGACTCGGGAACATAAGATGCCATGGAAGGAAGTCTCCAGATTACACCTGAGAAGAGATCTCCCCCGTAACTTGGATACATGTGCAGCGTTGCTCCTGAAGTCTCAAATGCAATGGACCTGGGCCATGATTTGGCAGTGGTGGTGGTTTATTGTTGTTAACACATTTTTCTCTAGTCAAATGTCAGAATTATTGGCATCTTTGCTCACCTGGCTGTCCTGGATGGTGCCAACCTTCCCTTTCATGGGTCTGATGAAGTTGTAGACAAACAGCAGCAATAATGCCAGAGGGATCATGTACAGTTCAAAATTCCAGACAGTGACCAGAAATACCTGATGGGAAGACAAATAAGACCAAATGACTGCTTGAAAAAACAGTATGGGAGCAATCTTAAATTCCTACTCATTGACATAAGGAGATTAAACCCAGGACTCTTTCTATATCATTCCAAACAGGTTAAAGCACACGCACGCACACGCGCGCGCGCGCACACACACACACACACACACAAACGATGATTAACGAAGTTTTAGAATTGGTAGTAGAATGAGGAAGATAGAGAAATGAGTTGGGCAGTCACACTCTGGAATAGACAGATATAGTAGCCCCATATCTGGAAACCCCATTACCCTATCAACCCTATTCAGTTTTTTGTTCCTGGATTTAGTGTACCAGAATTTACGTAAAGTAGTATGGAAAAATCCAAGGTCATGAAGACGGAGGCCACAGGCCGAATTTTGCCAACAGTGAGGTTTATCTGAACTGGAGGGAATGATTACTTTTTAAATTGGCTGCCAATGTTGAAAAATCCAAATATTTTAGGTAAAAATTTAGGTTTCCAAAGTCTCTTTAAAAATCTTACAATCTTCCAATTTTGAGGCTAGATGGCCACAAGAAAATGATGGGCTAGAACTTCCTACACCAGACAAGGTATGCGTGTACCTGCCCGATTTCTATGTCTCTGAATCTGAGACTCCTACTGCAGAAGGACAAGGGAGAGCTTGGGTTTGAATCCAAGTGCCTATGCTATAATGGTCACTGGGGACATACATGCAAATAAGACATGGCCCTACCTCCAAGGAACACACTAATTCATAGGACAAATAAGAAAAGAACATATGCTAATGATAACATGAGGCAGGCATGACATTTTGGGCAAATTACTTTGCAACTTGAGCCTCACTTTCTTTTCGAACTCACACGTAGTGCAGAAGCTGAAATAAGATAATTTGTGGTTATCAACTGTCAGCTAGTAAGTGCTCCACAAAGTCACTCTTGTAACATATCAACTTAGAAGAGGCAAATTCTGCATCTTAAATATTGAATCTTCCTTTCCAAAAGCAGTATTGTTTTACCTGTTACTAAAAACTTTTTCTACCATTTTAAAGTTTTCTTTTTGTAGATATTATATGTTTCTTGCTTATTTTTTTGGTTGCTATTGTAAATTTAATTATTTCTTCCATTATATTTTTCAAACAGGTAATTGCCTCTAAAAGCTAATAATTTGCATGTATTATTTTAAATTAGTAACTTTACTGAATTTTCTTATTGTTTCAAATAGATTTTCATTTCATTCTTTTGGAGTTTCTAAGAATACAGTCACATAATCTACAAATAAAGAATTGCTTCTGTTTCCTCTTTTCTAATATCCATAACTTACTCTTTTCATATTTAATTTCATTATTACTAACAAAACAATGTTAAATAAAACTGTTGAGAGGGATATCATTGTCTAATTCCTGAACTTCATGAAAATGCTTCTAGTGTCCATTTTTCTAACATTAAGCCTGCCATTGGCTTGTAGTTTGAGCTATATAAACCATATTAAAACTAGAAAGTTCACATACAAGTGTTTTGATTAATTACTCTTTATATCTTTTAAATATTTTATAAATCCTCTTTTGTTTCTGATCCAAACTTAGTGAAAACATTTTTTAAACAAGAATACTTCCATCAGTTTCAACAAGGATTTACTTATTATTATTTTTAAAATCAGGAATAATGGTGGCTGATCAATTGCTCTTTCACTATCTTCTGAAATAAGGAGGGTTTTTCCTTCTCATTTTAGAACATTAATATGGTGTACGGTATTTATAATTTACTAATATTGAAGTGACCTCATATTTCTGGGAGAAACTCCTTCTTCAGTGACGTGCAGTAGTCTTTTAATGCACTGCTGTATTCTATTTGCTGACACCTGAAGATGTTTTGCACAGACATCCATGAGTTACATTTATCTGTCGCTTCCTTTTTGTGTTATTTTCAGGTTTTGGTATCAGGATTATTTTGGCACCATATAAAATTTTACAGTCTATTCTTTCTTTCTCTATGCCTCTGGTGATATTTTTATATTACATTACTAAATATCCCAAGAATGAAAAAAATACATAGACTAATTTAACAAATGCCCATGCACTCCCTGAGCATAAAGACTTGTTAACATGCCATAATCTATCTTTCTGATTTATGTATTATTCTTTCTTTTTTAAAAATTAAACATTTCAGATAGTTGGTTCCCAGCGTCAAACGTCCTTGGTCCTACTCTTCCTATTCCCAGAGGTAACCATGTCCTAAAATCGGTGTGAATACTTGACACCTGGGGACACCTAAGGTTTATATTAGAAATAATATAAACTGCATCAAAGTGTTCATATCGTCCTAAAAATGTTTTATTCAATATTATGTTTTATAGATCTATCGATGGTGTATGTATAAATCAAGTATATTCATTTTAACTGATATATGGTACCCCATTCAAACGAATGCTCTGCAATTTTTCCCATATATTCCCTTGTCACTGAAAACTTAGGTTGAAACAGTGATTTTATTTTTTAATGTAGTCAGCTATATTAATCTTCAACCTTAGGATTTGTGCCTTTAATGTTCGATGTTCTACTTAAGGAATCATATTCCACCCTGAGATGATAAAGCTGTTTCTTTGTGTTTTCTTCCAAAAGATAATTGCGTGTATGTGTGCATATATGTATGTGTGTTCCTTATTTTGTCTTAAATGCTTTTGGGTTTATATTTGAAAAAAGCATACAATTTGAACATTTTCCTTACAGAGAGCCAATGTTTACAATTAGATTACTGCACCGATCCCTATTTTTCTCACTGATGTACACTGACATCTCTGTCACATACCAAGTTCCCTCAGGAGTGTCTGCTGTTTATCCCTCCATTGATATACATATTTCTATTCTTTTACCCAGACCACATTTTAAAACTGTAGTTTAGTAACCAGATGATATCTGAGTGGGCAAGTCTCTATTACTTCACTTTCAAAATTATGTTGGATAGTTCTTGTCCTTTATCCTTCCACATGTATTTTAGAATCAATTTGCAAAGTTCCATAAAATTCTTGGTGAAATTTTGATTGGGATAGCCTTGAATGTATATATTAATTTGGAGAGATTTGATAATCTGATATTGACCTTTCAAATCAAAAGGATTATTTATTCTTCCATATATTCAGGATTTCTTTTATTAACTCAAAACATTTTATTACTTTCACCATACTGATTTTGCATATGTTTTACTAATATTTTTCTAAGTAACTTAGAGTTTTGATACTATTATGAATGGGGTCATTTCAAAATTTACATACTTTAATTGGTTACTGCTGGGTACAGGAATACTGATTTTTATATGTTGCTCACATTATTTCTGAGGTCTCTCAGTTGTAGGAGATTTCAAATATATCCTTTTGGAGATCTGATGTGGAAAATCATATAAACTGCAAATCACGATAATTTTTCCTTTTGCCTTTCAATCTATATGCTACTTATATTTTCTGTTAGTGTTAAACCTACACACAAATGTTTTATGAGTAAGTATAGAATTTTTGAAATACTTTTTGAATCAATGCAGATTATGTTGTTGACTTCTTCCAGTCTGTTAATCTAGTTGTGCTTTATCAACTTTCTTTTATTTATTAGTTCATAATACATCTTTTCCTATAATTTTCTATCGTCTTAAACCTTCCTTTCTCTTTTGCTCTTTTTTTTCTTTCTTGCTGAGGAAGATTTGCCCTGAGCTAACATCCGTGCCAATCTTCCTTTATTTTTTTAGTGTGTGGGCCGCCAGCACAGAGGTGTAGGTCTGCACCCAGGAACCGAACTTGGGCCACTGAAGCAGAGTGCACCAAAACTAACCACTAGGCCACCGGGGCTGGCCCCTCTTTTACTTTTTTGTTTTATTATGAACACAGAAAAAAGTAGAGAAAATAATACAGTAATTTCTCTACTATGTAAAGCCAGAAATTTTCCTAATTGTTCCCTTTTCCTGTTCTTAAACTTCTTTTAGGATTAGGGGTTTTAACTGTATTCTAAATGGTGGTTGTTTCTAAATGTCTATGTACTGGATAAGTGAGATTTTATTGTTCTTTTAAATTGCTAAATATTACTTCAAGTACAAAGAGGCTGACATAATACTATTGAGAAAAATTAAGAAGAGCATATTTTTAACTTATTTTTTTCATCACAAAGCTATTTATAAAATGTCTTTGATAAAATTACTTATATATCAATCAATATTAGAGGGATGGCTGTTAGTTAAACCCTTCATTTGCCATAACATTTGCCTCTATCAGGTATAGTTAAGTAATCCCAGAAAGCGTTTTCAACAAAGATTGAGCCATCTTTAAACACCACATTCAAAAGACCCAAAACTCTTTTAGAGTGAGACAGTAGTGCCTTTAGAAATATTTTTCAAATCAATGCATAATTCCCACTTTTATAGTAAAAGATTAATTTCCTAACAAACATATCTTCCAGGAAAAACAAATAGAAACCTTGGGCAAAACTAAAAAGAAGACCAACTATCTGAGACTCTGAACCACTCGAAGCTATTAAAACTTTTCAAGGGAGCTGGAATCTTGGAAGAAGAAATCAGATCTGCATGGGGTCACTTTAACATTTTTGCATCTTTGACCTAAGAGTAGCTGCAGGTACAGGGGTGGTACAGTTGATGATACCAATAGAGAAATTTGCCATCTGTCTGAATGGAGGAAACAGATAAAGGAGTTGGGGACAACCAGGGCCACCAGAGAGGACAGAGGTACACTGGAAGGAGAGAGTAAGCAAAGGAAAACTCCAAATTCGGTATGTGAACTCTGCTACAATCTGTGGCATACATGTGGAACTAACTCAATGTCTGAACTGCGATCAAAGCTGCTACCCACAGGAGTTGTGACAGAATATGCAGTTTGATTCTAACGAAGTTAAATGCCTTCTTAAAACAAAAAAACAAAATCAACCTTATTTGAAAGAATATAGCAGAATCTAGAGTCTCCACCATATAACATTCCTAATGTCTAAGACACAATTCAAAA